TTGACTTTAATTTGAAACCACTTCAAGCTCTTCATCTCTTTTAGTAACGAAGTTATACGAATTCTTCTGGAAGATTCTTGAATTTATATTAGCTTTTACTCGGTATATAAATATTGTATGCAAAGATTTTTCTTTAACGTCATCGCGAATTAACAGCATACATTTCTAATATTATTCATTTATTTTTTCGATTTGGTCATCCCTTCTAGACCATGTGAGTTATGTCACTATGTTAAAAGTTCAACATCGAATTTGTTTGACAAAAATCGTTTTTTTCTGAGTAGGCATTGAAACCTTTCTAGAAAGGTGACTCTTTGACTCGTTAAATCAGTTGCTATCAATATCGATGAAGAACAAAAATATCTACTCAAATAAACAGTCAGTTGGCTGATTTCAAAAGAACAATCGTCTCTATCTCTTTTTTTTATAACACGAATTATGTAGTACAGAATATTCAGAGCTCTTTGTAATTGATATTCAATATGAAAAAGAGAGTGTAACACACAAATTTGATCGTTCTCACAGAGTTTCTAGTTCAATAATAGATAAAGTATTCATTTATTCATTGAGTTTTTGATCAAAAATTGTTTGAATCCATTTATTAATATTGTCAAGTGTATTTCGTGCTTCAGGATAATAAAGAAAAAACACTGGATAGACATGCATTAAATGTAAACCTTCTTCAAATGTCACAGAGACACCTGATTCTTGTGCTTTCTTGAAAATTCGTCGTGAATCATCTTCTAATATTTCAGCTGTACCTACATTAATATACATTGGTGGAAATCCTTCAAAGGAACCAAATAAAGGACTAAAAATAGGATTATCAGGAGATAATTGAGAAGGATTAGGACCCAACATTAACTGAACGGCACTACCGTTGTCTTCTTTAGTATTACGAAATATTACATCAATTTTACGATTACGTTTATAACTTTCTCCAGATGCTGAAAGATCAGTCCATGGAGATAGGACAATAACACCACGGGGAACAGGTAATTGACGAGCAAGTAAAGCTTGAATTGTTAATAGAGAAAGACCACCACCAGCTGAATCACCCATAAAAAGCAATTGAGAAGGTGAAATATGATCACGAAGAAATGCATGGTAAAGTGCAACTGCATCATCAACTGCTGCAGGTAATGGATATTCTGGACAAAGTCGATATTCCAAATGAAGTATGGTTACATTGAAAAGACGAGACAAATGACATTCAAATCCACTATAATCTATTAAAAAAGTAACAATGTATTATTCTATATTATGTGTTGAATAAATATCAGAGTAATATTTTAGATACTGCCACAGATCAAATCTCAGTTTAGTTAAAAATCAAGAGTTTTCTGTTTTAAAGCATTTTTCTATATAAGGATTCCTATTAAACAAAACTAGTATTTTACTTAGTGGTAACAAATAACTTACTAAGAATATCGCCCAGCATATATCCTCCACCATGAAAAAAGAGCAAGATTTTATCAGAGTTTCTTTGAAAATTTTTTCCATGATAATTAACCCAATAGGTATCTACTGTATGTCCATCATGTTCAAACACTTCTTTATTGACTTGACATTGTGATGGTTTAGGAACAGTCGTACCCAGCGTAAAGCCTGATCGTAATTCTTTCATTATAGTACTTAGATTTGCTAATGGATCAAGTTCTCCTAATGGCATCATAACGATTATGTCTTCAAAAGCTCGATAGTCTGCACTGAGAGTTGGTCGAGCTTGATCCGGTAAGAAAGAATGTTTGATTGATAACATAGAATGTAGTAGACGAATTCGAAGATGTTTAACATTGGTTGAACCATAATGAAGAGGAATAGCAATAGCTGCAATTAAAATGAAGAGAGCCAATTTTTTAAGAAATCCGAAAAAAATGCACGTTGACATGATTGAAACTGTTTTTTAAAAAAAAGACGATTATTTCTTCTTTTACAGTCGATCGTTAGACTTATTGCATCACCACATGGTTTTTCTTTTTCTTCTCTTTCTTATCAGCATGTTGACGCGTTTATCACTTACTTTACTCAAGGACAAACTATTTTAGTATTATACTTTGACTACCTAAAAATATAATAAGGACATTTGAAAGGTTAAAGATAAAATAAACTCTTCTTGCTGAATACGATAAATTCGAAAACAATCAGCTTGATTGAACCATCCAGAAGAAAAATACAGTTTGAATATCAACGTGACTTTTCAAGCAATTGAATACACATGGTGCGATAACTCGTCTATCTTTTCTCGAACATTTCCAGGATTTTCTTTCGATCATTTCACTATTTGAGGATGAGCGTGGATCTTCTCCTAATCCACCACTACTCAACTTTATGTTTAATAACAGTTGTATTGCATGAAACTTTAATCGAGAATGAACAGAAAACTTTTAATATTGCTGATAAATATTGTAATGTTTTGAAATTTTTGAATGAAGGGCAAATGTTCTTTTTTTCCATACTGATCTCATTGAAATACTAAGTAGTAGAAAACAGAAAAATACATATGATAACACATTGAACAGTTTGTTGTAGAAAGATAAGAATACTTTCTGTCTGGTAATCGTTAAGATGTGAAATTGTTTATGTTATTTCTTTTATGACATTTTCATTGTTATGAAACTATTTCTATAGAAGTGATCATATTAAAATTCATTTTTTGTATTATTCAATTGATTGCAATTACCAATTTGACCAAATCATAAAAAAAATTTGTGTACTCAATGATTCAGTTATGGATGAATTACGTCAGCGATACAAAAATATAGATTCATTTTGTGAATTATTATTGAATGATACAACTACTTCGTCATTCACTGAACAATGTTAATCTCTTCATATACTGTTGGATTGAGTTGAGACACAAGCAGACAATCATCAGTATCATGTGTTGTAAACTTGACCATGGCAAGCACTCAAGTTTCGTCGAAACAACCGAATAGAAATCAACAAAAGAAAATAATTTTAGCTACAAAAATTCCCTCTGTATTCATTATTATTATGTGTTTAATTATTATTTATATTTTCAAAAGAAGACAAATAATCTATAAACCATATGAAAACATTGAAATGCATGAAAAGATCTTGCCCGTCATTGATGAAAAATAATCTTTTGTGATTAATGTGTTGTTTAGTTTCATTTCAGAATATGATTATATTTATTAACTAGTAATATTTAGCAAGCATCAGTATTCAAATCGAATGAAATAATCAATCGATTTTCTTGCTTGTGAAAATATGTTAGAATTATATTTCCTTACAAACTGATGTCATGCACAGTGAAATGTGTTTATTGTATTCTTTCAAAAACAACATATTTCACACCACTGCGTATATTCGAATGAGCCTATGAAATAAGATACATCTAGACAAGTTTAGGTTAGTTATGAAAGACTTTTCAAGCCAAATGATTTCGTTTCTTGCATCTGATTGCGTTTACAGTTGTAGACCATATTCAGTTAAATGCGATTGAAGGCTCATCATCGAAGACATGCAATCGTATGCACGTTAGTCATGTGCTTGAATGTAGTTCGTCAATTTTCATTGCATCTGTTGTCATCATGGCTGCAGGTTATGTCACCGAGATAAATATAAATAGATCTCTAATAGTCGATTCAACTATATGCTTTGCGATCATAAAGAATATTGAAAGTCTATTTATAAGATGTTCAGAAGGCGTAGTTAAGTCTTATTGTATTTTTGATCTTAATGAATTATTTTGATAGTAAATCATTTTTACAATGCAGCTTATTAGTTATTTTGTGGAACATATAAGAATAAATGGTTATACTTTAAAAAAGTTCTGAGCATCTATACGAGTCTTTCATTGTCACACAAATATAATTAGCCTATGAAACATAAATACGTGAACGGGTATCTCATTTTGACATTTTATTGAACAGTCATTCAATAAAAATATTAGAATAATAAAGTTTTAGTGCATATCATAACTATTCTTTTCATAAAATTAATTTCATTTCTAGGCAAAGTATAGATAAGATGTAGCACTTGTGCTTTAATACGAAATTCAAATTTGAAGTTGAAGTTGAAAATCTTTTTCTTTTAGTTTTTTCAGTTGCCCCTATTATAAATATTTAATCTAATGAAAAGTCAGAATGACCAAGCGAAATAAAGTTTAAAGTTTTTATAGAGTAAAAATCGCAACTTTAAAATTTATTTTCTTTAATTTCCATCAGTTTCGTTAAAACGCAAATAGAGTATGGAGAAACAAAAGCAATTGAGAAGTGATTTGTTTAACAATGCATGAACTTTTGTATTCGATGATTATATGTATCAGCCACGTACAAATTAAGTTGAGCATCAAATACCATCGAATAAGGATTATTAAGTAAGGTAGAGCTAGTTCCAGTTGCATTCGTGACACCAGCAATCGTCATTCCAATGGATTGACCAGCCAAAAACAGTTGGATTCGATGATTATTTCTATCGGCTACGTATGTATTGCCCATGGGATCCATTGTCACGCCTACTGGATAGTTAAGTAATGTTGCATTACTACCACGCGTTCCGTTTATGCTACCAGCGATAAGTGTCCAACTACTAGCACCCAATGCCCAACGAACGATATTATTAGCACCAGTATTAGCAATAATGAGACTGTTTGACGATGCATCGAAGTAGATACCCACTGGATACTTGAGCTGTGTGTTAGCTGTTCCTAGACCATTGCCTCCAGCTACTACAGTTCCTGATGATGCACCTGCTATATAGCTCATCACTCTATGGTTGCTCTGATCTGCTATGTATAGTGTACCCGAACTTGGATCTCGTGCAATACCATACGGATTCGTTAGTTCATTGTTTCCTGAGCCAGCAGAACCTATAACAAACGTGCAGGCCAGTAAAACAACAAAAGATGAAGTACTACATTCATGATAAAATAGCAATATTTCATCGTTAAGTAGTATGACAGAAGACCTCAAATCTAATATGTTTATAAAGATCTTGTTACATTTTCATGACTTTGAATTTTTGATTGCAAAAAAGTAAACAAAGATTCGATATTGATTTGAAGCAACATTGTAAAAAATGGTCAATAGAGTTTCTTATTTGAAATCAGACGAATTTGGATGAGCAAAAGCGATATATAACGTTTTTTGAGAAAGCTCTTAGTTTCAATTACTACAGTATTGCGAAACAGTTCTTATTCCGCGCATATTTTTGCTTGACTGTCTTATCATCCTACCTGTAACGCCGACAATCGTCGTGCCTGAAGATGCACCTTGAAGCCAGTACTGAACGCGATTGTTGTTGGTATCGGCCACATAGATGTTGCCACTTGAATCGAGTAAAACACCGCTAGGTGCATCTAAGCTATCTGAAGTCGTTCCTGCTACTGCACTTGCTTGACCTGCCACTGTTGTACCCGTTGATGCACCGGCTAACCATTTCTGAACTCGATTATTAGTTTGATCGGAAATATAAAGTGCATTTGATGAATCCAATGCGACACCGAAAGGGCGATCAAGTCGATTGGCAGCATCATCTGACACACCAACCCTCCCTGCCACAGTTGTAGCCGTTGAATTCCAACAAAATGCGCTGCTGGTAGCTACAAAAGTAATAGAGACCACATGATTTCACTGTCTCAGTATTGACGTATAGCCAATTACGCGATGTCGAAAAAACTTTTATACGTTCGGGAAGGTAATGATATTATTTGAACCCGGAAAAATACTATCTGTAATTTCCAATGAAATACTTTAGGAGCAGTCTCCAAAGATAATTTGCATCTTGAAGCAACAACCATATGAGAGTGAAAAAGTTATACAAAATTTTACTCATTAGTTGTTGTCAATTTCTGTTATAAACATTACAATCATAATCTTCCTTAAACTATATAGAAAACTTTATTGGTTCAATTGAACAGAAGAAAAGCTTTCTACTTTAAGTTTGAATGGAAAAACAGTTTTTTCCACTGGGTAGCTTCACGTGCACCTCATATGTATTTTGCACAGGTTCAGAATTAATTAAAAATCATATTGAATAAAGAGTAGTGTCACATATCCAGGAAATCAGGGGTGATAAAGTAGTATAAGGAGATGCAAAATACACAAAAGTATGTATTAGCAGACTATTACATTATTATATGCATATATAAATATCTATCCTAACATCTCCTAATGAACAAAATTTCTTTCGACTTTTAGCCTAATACGCATGAGGGAGATGCATGTCCGCATATCTCTATACTTCTCTAGCATCTCCAATCTTCAGAATATGTGATACTGCTATGAATGAATTGAAAACTCACTTGTTGTGCTTGTACTAGTTACAGTTGATGTGGTACTAGTACTCTTTGTCGAAGTTGTAGAGCTACTTGTAGTTGAAGTCGTTGTGCGTGTAGTTGATGTAGTACTAGTACTGACTGTTGAAGAGGTTGTACTAGTAATTGATATGTTAGTCGTAGTACTTGTTGCCGATGTAATAGTAGTATTCGTTACCCCAGCAATTGCCGCACTGCTGCGTACCGCGCTACTCGACGATGCATTTGACACGATGCCGGCTGCAAAAATTCATTCAGTAATATACTTAAGGTTCTATCACAGATTATACAACTTTCAATCAAATCCTTGTAGGATTCAAATCTGTAACACTATCGATTTTTGGGTATGGGTGTTGGTGGATAGACGGGAGTATAAAAAGAAGCCAACAATCTTAATCACCCAGTTCTTCACAAATCGCTGTAGTCCATTTCTCTACTAAAGCATATTTCATGTGCTCTTAGTAATGATCACCATCGAGACTACGGCGATTCACATTCGTTGTCAATGTAACAAGAAAGAATGTCAGTAAAAGAGCTTGTTAGTGCACCTTATTTCGAGCTGAAATGTGAAACTCGTATTCTCCATATAAGGAAAAAGGACTTTTAATCCAAGTTGCTAATTTTCGTAATTGTAGTTGGATAGTTGTTATAGAGACGAGAGCCAGAAAACTTCAACTTAAAACTTACATTGACTATTTTCTTTAAAAATATATGTGAGTTCCACAAAAGAACAATAAATCAAGATACGCACCTTGTGTAACAACAAGTATGACAGCAATAATTGCAGCTAATAAGAGAATCAGCATCACCAATACAGTGAGCACGAAACAAGTTCGACGGAATCGATTTCTGCAATGCAAAGTGAAGTAATACAATTTGTATTCATTAATGAAATGTTGCAAGGATAGGTAAGAAAAAGCAAGTATTTTGAAGATTTTTTAGAACTTACTTAGCTTCATATTAATTCAGAACACCAACAACTAACTTTAGAAAAATAGATCTCAAACAGTTAAATAATTACTGTGACTTTGGATCCAAAATCGATTACGCAGTAAAAATATGTTTGAAGTTAGTTTTTATAGGTAAGCATGAATTTCATTATGCGAGCTCGCACATATATAAAGTTATGGCTTTCTGGAAAAAGCACCAGAAGTTATTATCTGATATGATGTAGGATGTAAGTCTGATAGAAGAGAATACAATCGCCAACAGCCGCAACCATACCTCAAGTGCCAAGCACTTCTCCAAGTACCAGATCGTTTATAGCAAGCAATCCAGTACTTGAAATCTGTGCATGCACTAGGGCACCTATGAATATGTTGATGAGTAACTATAACAAACAATTGAGCCTGTGGATGTGGGTGAGTGATTGAGATTGTTATCCCCTTTGTATACACTAATCTAACTACCCACTGACAAATCATTGATGACGAAGCACTGTATGCTTGATTCAAATAAGACAAAAATCACGATTTTTTTGGAGGCACTAATATGGCCACTTGAAGCGTATCGTGCTTTCTATCGATACGACACTGTCCTGATATTTTCGCTTGTGCATTACTATCATCGTTCAACCAATAGGAAAACTCTATCAAATGATTGCACTACTCTTAGAAAATATGCGGGCACAGGAAATGGTGAAAGTCTCGTCTAACCTCACAATTCGAGTTCGTTTGTCAGATTCAATCGAATGTACATTGCATTTTGACGTGAATCTTCATACTAATCTAATTGTTCTCTAAATCAGCGAATGCTTTGATACACTGACCATCAGAGTCCACTTTCGACAGATATTGTTGGTTCATTCATGATTAATTGATCTAACCAAAACATAAAAATCGCACTACCTTTCAGCGACTATGAAGAAAGGATCCGCTCAAAGCTGTCGAGATTGAACAAAATACGTATTCGAAATAGTTGGATGCATGATCAATACGACAAAGAGATTTTTCATGAAAAATTCCGTACAAATCTACGACTTACTGAGTATCACAAATTGTCACATGTTGTGACTTGCCTGTTTCTACGAATGAATCTTCGATTTTCGGGTATATTCGATTTTGTTGTCTGTTAGTAAAAATCCTTGATATCTAAAAATTAAGATGCGAATTAGTATTGTTGTTGAGCTCTAGAGGAAAACAAACCGATGCAGGATAAGGACGAGACGTCTTGGCACGATTGTTCGATCGAAGATCTCCTGTTGGATGCTCTCGCTCGATTTTTGGGTGATAAGCTAGCACCGAGATTCTTGACAGTTGCATGGCACTTGCTTGATTTGTTCGATTGCAAAGAAATATAACTACTATAGTTAGTATGTAAATGCTTTATTTATATAGTAGTTCGATGACTTTGACCGTAAACAACTCGCATGCGATCTCATAATAACAAGCGAAGCACTACACTATTTCAGTCAAAATCAATCTTCTGCCTGATTTTTGTACGAAACAAAGTGCAACAAAAAATATAAAATTGATGACAACCAATAGTTGAGCGCGCCTGAAATTCTGAATGCAGCCACTTTTTAATCAAATTTGCATTCGAGCTGTTTATTCAATAGATGAAACGATACATTTTTTCGCCCATCAGAAATTAAATTAAATATTGTTTCTGTTTGTATACATTGAATGTCAGAAGCCTACTTCATGATTAGTCATAGAGTGCATTTTTATTTCGAATGCACTAGCAAACATAAAAATTAATTCAATACGTGCAGTACAAACCGTGTCATTCGAATTATTATTACTATTGTAAATCATCATTGGTAATGAGTATTATAGAGTATAAGAAGAAAAGCGAACTGTTCTTACCTCACACACATGCAGATCATGACAGGTAGGCATGCACCGAACCCGGGAACAGATCGAGATTCTCGGGTTCGGTTATTCCCGAGGTTTGGTCGTTTCCGAGGTATTCTTGGATCCTCAAGTCCTACCATACTAGTAGTTGTCCAGATAAGACGAAAGAACAGGTCTCCTGAAATTTGACTGGTCGAAAAATGGATCAATCAGGCTGTGCCACTATATTTCTCGATGATACAGTGGGGCGCCGCCCTATGTGTCACCAAGAAAGAGCATCTCGCAATCTGATTGGTTCATCGTTGAATAATCAGATTTCTGAAAACTTGTTTTTTCGTATTATCTGGGCCATTACTAGTATAGCAGGACTTTAGGACCCAAGGGTATCCTCCTATTGTAGGTCTTGAGGACTCAAGGGTGCCCGAGAACGACTGAACTCGAAAATACTGAACCCCGGATAGTTCGGATTCGGTGCACACCTAATGACATGTCAGTCGTCATGCATACCATGGTCTGTGTGTGAAGGGAAGGACTTTTGATGTCTTAGTCCTTGTTGCACAAAAATCTGACACATGGACTGAGATTGCTACACTACATGGAAAGAGGCTTTATTATCTACCATATATCAATTATCTCCGAGTTACCCTGAAACGTTTTCAATAACAATTGATATCATCTTTGTTGTTGGTGACCGAACTAGAGTGTGGGTGAGTGTCGGTGTGGGTATGTGTGAGTGAAGAAATGAACTATATCAACAATCATTCTCGCCCCGCCCTACACACCCACATCCACCCCAATAGTGAAATTTCTTCGATCTAAATCGGCTGGATTTGTGTAGCCCAGTGTTTCCTCTACCAAGTCGAGTGAGCTCTATATTTTTTGTTCTTGAGTTCATCCACGAATAGTTATCAGGGCTGCTTAGCTTAGATCGAAACAAGTATTATATGTCACATTCTATCTTCTGGCATTTGCATAATGGCTTCGTTTTTCCCACTAGTCATCAATATTCTCACCACACTATTATTCTCTCTTTCTCTCTTGCATCTGGCATGCAACCGCTCTTTTCTCTATAGCACGTTGTTGACTCCTTCGTCTCTCTGTGTTAAAAAGACGAAAATTTGAACAGAGTCGAAGGATAGTGAAAATAAAGAGAGGGAATCGGAGGTACGACATATCATTAGATAGCCGAAAAGTGTGTGCGAAACGTTTATTGCCATTGTTTGTCGACTGATATATCTTATCACGACTAAGCATGATGTAGCAAGCTACCTAGGCAAGCAGCAGTCATTCAAATGAAGATAATAAAGATAATGGCGATAAAGAGCGAGTAAGAGAAGTTGAAAGAATAATTTCATACGCATATCTAACTTGAAAAGAATACAAAGAGCAACAACTGAAGGTGAGTGATCAAGAACAACAACGAGTTCGTTCATCGTTGTATGTGTTCGATTAACATATTTGAGTATGAGCTAGTAGTTCATGGTTTAATTGAGAATTATGTGAATGAGACTTATCTTTTTGACGAATCCAGATGCGCACAGCGCTGTCCACCACTATCAGCAAATATTTTTGTTGAAAGTTCATTCGAGAATCTCAAAAAATTCCAAAAGCAAATAAGTTCTTTAACTGTCCGTTGAAAGTCGAAGATCTGAGACAGCAAAAACCAACATCAAGTGAAATTTTCGACCTCCACTTTCACTTCTGAATCACTCAAGAAAAAGAGCTTCATCACCCCGATTTTGTGATTGTGCTTGCGCTATATGGAGCTATATAGGTTACACAACAAAGAATAAATTAATTTTCTCATCAAAATATGGTTGGACATTTTTCATCAGTCAAAGAACTCATAAAGTGACCAATAATACTTACGGGTATCCAAAAGTAATGGCGCCATTACTTTTGGATACTCCTAAGTATTTGTCGTTCTATTTCGATGATTATTGTGTACTGATACTATTCACTTGTTGAGGATTACGACTGTTTGTCATGGACGTTGGTACTTTTCACATTTAAGCATTTCAAAAGAACCCAATCAGAAACGGTTTGTCGAATTGAAGCAATTTCTTTTTTCTTGGTTTCAGTTTAATCATGTTATTTTCATATGGTTTGAGTTTTCTTATTTTAATACTAACAATAAAGTCTGGTTCATGTTTAATTTGTTATCAATGTGATGAAATTGTGGTAACAGCTGCGAATTTAACAACACCACCTGGTTGCAACAAAATGAATGTCAACAAGACGTATTGTACAATAGGAATTGATTTTAATAATGATGATACAGGACGCATGAATATTGAATCAGAAACGTATCATCAAGCCTATGGTTACAATGAAGATTTTGTTCTACTTGGCTTAACAATAAAAAGTAGTGGGTCATACGGATATGGTCTTACCTATCATTGTTTAACAGACGGTTGTAATGAACCAAAACTCAGTAAACTTCAATTATTATTGAATTCAATTACAATAGAACATAACGTAGACGTAATTTTACCATTATTATACGTGCCAACACCTGATATTCCATTAACATGTTCAAGATATACAAATTTTACAAATCCTAATGAATGCTATTCACAAGAACAATCTAGTATTTTCTGTGTGATATGTTTCACATCTATTGATGGAATAAAAAATTCAATATGTTCCGACTGTTTAGACAATGATGACCTGATTTCTGATCTTCTTCTTGATGAACGAGCATATTTATTAAAAACAAGAAAAACAAGTAATCATAATTTTGAAGTACACTGTAATATTCGAGAATGTAATAGAATGGATAAGATTGAACAACTTCGAAAACTATATCGTTATGATTTTGATTACAATAAATTCGCGAGTCAATCCATATCGGCTTGGGCATTCTACAACAAGAATATGATTTTTTTTAATGTAATTATTTTATTAATTTTGAATAAATTATAAAACAGATTGTATACATGTGCACGCATATACTCATGTAGCACAATATTCGTGTGTATAGAACTCAGTGTCTTATCTATCTTTGTATTTAAATTATATTCATTTTCAGTGAAAACATTCGAAAAAATGAGAAGCTAAATTTAATATGATTCGAGACACAAAGTTGCACGGTTATCCTTCCAGCCTCCATCGATGAAGTCGAAAAAGAACAGAAAACGATTATTTCGATAGTTTTATTTTTTTTTCTCTAAAATTTTTGATGCATTCTTCACTCTTTTATTCTTAAGTGTCAGTCTGCCAGAAGATATACAGATGAAAAAGTGTAGCAAATCATATTTTATTTTAAGTTGTGCTTAAAAGAAGGATGAAAAGTTTCACACTGTACTCCTTTGAAAAATGTTGTGATAAGATGTTTTATAAGACATGATGTGATCAAATCAAAATTGAGGATTCTCATAGAAAACATTTTCTTCATTGCTTTCCTCGAACACGATGTCTCTTCATTTTCAAATGGTCTGATTAGATATAAGTGATACAGATGTTTGGCTTGATCCATTGAAACTTCATTGAACACTCGTTAGAGAAAAGAAGGAGGCAGACACCCTTAAAAGTCGTTTATGGCTCAGCTTCGATTGAGCTTGAGTGTCGGTGTCAGATGTGGTGTGGGTGTGGGTGTGAGTGCTGATGATGAGAAGATTCACATTTCAAACTGCCATTCACACGCGGACGTCGCCCATACTCACACTTTAGGATCCCACTTTTATAGCAAGATCATGTTTGTGAATTTCTATCTGAAATTTTGTCCAGCTAAAGAGCTCAACTAGACGAGCTTGCATGGAAAATTTCAGAATTTTTGAAGTGAGTACTTTCAAGATATAGAATTTTCAAGGTATAAGCCTTTTTCCATAGATAGTTTATACAACATATACTATTTAAAAGTTTCATATCTCTGAAAGACGCAGTTCAAAAGTTCTGAAACTTTTTATGCAAGCTTTTTTCGCTGGAATCTTTAGTTGGACAAAATTTCAGATCGAAATTTGAAAATATGATTTTATTACAAATGTGGGGTTCTACAAAGAAAACTCACCAAGAACGTTCGACTTTTCCTCAGGATCAGACTATAAACACGAACTATTTTTTGGTTGATATACCAAGGACACTACAAACGGTTTTTTCTCAGTTCTTTGGAGAAATATTCAAAGTCTGGGTCTAGTGTTGTTTTTCAAAGTACCTCCTTCATCAACGATACACTGATTCATTCGAGTAAAGAACGTCATTGAGGTAGAGTTTGAGATCATTTCTTTTTCAGAAACCATTAATGACTGCTGAAAGATATTTTAGTTTTAACATTAGAAAAAAATCAGATGGATTTAGATCTGCGGAATATGCTCAATCAATATATGGGTGAATCTATGGAAAACCAACCACTATTTTGGAAAAAGTTTTTTTTCTCAAGTTTTTTCTTCTAATTAGATTGATCATCGATAGAGAATAGGTTTGGCCGAAAAATATTCCTAAGTAGTACTTGATATCCAGAAGATCCAAGCTGCTGTCTCGATACAACTATGATGAGAGTAGATTACTTCGGTAACTCCAATGTTTTGAGCTCATATTTTGAGGGTAGGTAGATGAAGATTACACTAGAAAAACCTCCAAAAGATTTATATTTTCAATGTATCAATACTGAACTACGCCATTCTCCTATTCTCTATTCTAATGATATAACTATAGTCGATCACTAGGATGTTAGTGTTGGTGTGGGTGTGAACATTTTTTTCAGCCACTCACACCTACTCGCCTCACACTCACAAGTCTTAACTCGATTAGTCGTTGGATATAAACAAAAGGACCAAACAAAAGACATTCGCCTCTCATGAACAAAAATTCGAATTACTATTTTTCATTTAGCGAATATAAAGTACAAATTCGGTTCCAATCTTTTTATTTAATACCAATCTACTTTTTTCTGGCGGTTGCGTTTACAATATTTATCGAGTAAATAAACTACAATTGTGACAGGCAAAATAATATAAACAATGGCTAAATCAAGCATATATCGCTGATAGAATGGTAGTGTACTTTGAAATGGTGCATAGCGATATAAGTCACCATTTAGATTTATGAGGAATTCAATTTTTTTAACGGCTCGTTTCATTCCACCAGCATGCTTCATTCCAAGTGACATGATTCGAACTGCTTTCTCGTACGTCATATTTCTCCACATTGTTGACAGTTTCATTGTTACACTATCACTAGAAAATGTGTAATCATGAAAATCGGCCGGATTTATAAATGACTGTAATAGAGATGGTGGTACGAATAACGATTGTCCAACTCCTGAATAACCGATCGCAATTGCATTTGTATATAAATTGATCAATATATAATGGCAAACATAGTATCGGTTTTTGAAAATAAAGTCCTTCTACAATTGAACCCATATCACAGTGACTGATGAATAGATTGACTGAATTCTGTTGTAAAATCCATTTTCAAGTTTGACCCGTTGATCATCCATCAGAACATGCCGATATTCGTCATTATTGATCTCATTCAGTGTAATATGATAGTTATCATAGTTGGCATTACAAAATGCCAATAGCACAGAAGCGTCATCAGTTTGTAGAGTGTGGGTGTGGGTATCGTTATTGACTTAGCTCACACTCATATCCACACTTGCACCAACAGCATCGTTGACTTTTTTGGGTGGTGGGAGTGAGGGTGATGTGAAGCATTTCTGCTGCAAATGGTACAATTCCCCTCTTTTGGGAAATATTGTCTAATCCTTACAAAAAATGTATCGTTGAATAACGTCAAAGTAATACACATTGATGGTTGGCATGTAAGTATCTTCGAGATTTATTGAACGATATCTGTACACTTTATTCTTGTATTTAAGGAACACGTCCTATTCTCTGAATTACATTCTTCATATTGCATGACAATTCAAGCAGATGACCACAAAAGAATGATACGAATTACACCTCTAGTAAGTTTCAACAAACTAAATAATTGATTTCTTTCATCCGATAAATTTTCTCTCCTTTCGAGATGTATCTTTTATTAAGACAACGAAAGCTTTAAAAAAATCAGTTCGTCAGTATTGTATTTGTATAGTTTTCCATCATTCTGGATTTTGTTGACCCGCGCATTTCACACCGTTCATTGATTAACCGTTTGGCTAATTGTTGATGTTGATTATTATTCGAATATACCGCTGAATGTATCAGTAACAAAGTGAAAATATCTCGTTGTGCAATTGATCCGCCACCAATAGCAGTTCGGTATCGAATAGGATACAGAAGCTCTACTACTTGAGCATAGTCTCCTTCGTCAAAACGCTCAAGTGCGGCAAAGATGCGCGAACCGATTTCACGATAGGCTTTTCCGGTATCCGTATCGGATGATTCGACTGTTTCTTTGAGTGAACGAAGAAAGTCTTTTTTCGTTTCAGTATCGGCAAAATTATCCAAGACAAAGTAGTGATGAAAATCTTGAAAAAGTGTTTGATGATCACGTAAATGAACATCGAGAAACTGTTTCAATTGAGAATTTGATTGCGATGAACGTGGATGTCCAGCCAGTTTGAGACGATAGATCAACGAAGCAGCATCAGTATATTTTATTCGGTTCAATTCTGTTCCATTGTTGTTTAAAAAGTGATGCTGAAGAATCTCTTCCGCTTTCTCCCAATTATCTTGTTCCAATTCATATAACGCCCAGTGCCAATCGATATGTGGTGCGATTATATCGCACTGATGCCAATGGTTGTCAGTTTTCTCCAAAAAGTTGATTCCTTCCGATGTTTGACCCATGTACTCGATAGTATGTACCAGTGCATGTGTAGCCCATGCATCATGTTCATTGAGTTCCAGTCCAAGTCGAGCTTGTTTTTCTGCTTGTGGTACCATATTTGTTTCACCTAAACCAAATGCATGCATTCCATACAAATGTGATTTGAGTGGACGATGTGACGATGATGATTCCCAAATGGGTAGCACTCGTGCAACTGAATCTCGAAGCATATTTTGGTTGCCAAGATGAAAATAGGTGTCGAGTGCAAATTTCAAAGTCATGATATCAAACGGATAACTGAGAAGGATAGTTTCCCATGTGTCAGTAGCGCGCGATCGATAGCCGAGTGACCAGTCGATGAGAGCTTGTGTATGAAGATGGATGTAGGGATTCGATGAAGTTGCTACATCACCCAGTGTTTCAATAACTTGCGCATGAGCCAATGCAGATGGACAAGGCATTGAGAACATTCCAAGAGCAGCGGCTAGAATACGACTGCTGGTGCAATTTGGATCGGAGGCGAGAAGACGAGATAGACTAGGTTTGATACCACCCAATTGCTTATCATTGTACCTGACGAAAGGAAGAATATAGTCAAGCATAAAAAGACAATCCTCGTGACCAACTCACCAGCCAACATATTGCGTCAGTGTTGCATCAAATAATTTTGCTGTTTCATTGCTTGTCGTATCGATTGGAATTCCATCGTTATGTAGAGTTTCGACATCACGCCAATGGTCTCGAAACGGCATTTCAAAAAATGAATTTCTACTTTCAACTTATTTGTCGCTCTTGAAAATGATTCTCTCCATATATCTAAGATAAAATAGAGATATGTTTGTAGGTGTGAAAGAGAACACGTGCAAAGATTGCATTAATATAAAAATCGGACAGCGCACGCTTGTGATAGAAGTACGAATGCAAGAGATGACTACTTCAGTTATTTATCTTTTTCTTGTATGTTCTGTTACATATCAAGCATGCAGGACACCATGGTGTTCGATTGTGTTTCAAGATGATGGGCGCTAAATTTTGGCAGAAAGCAGAACTAAAAAAACAAACTTTGAGAAACAAGTTGTATATTTTTATCTGTATTGATTGATTTTGATCTTCCACTTCGTAGTGCATCTCCGATAGAACCTGTCTCATCAAAATTTTTTGCGAGTCAATAATATGTTTGTCGAGCCGAAATTTCATCATCAGGAAATTCATGTCGAAAAGCTTCATTTATTGTTTGTGTTGTTCCTCCTGATATCCACCATTGTTTTAGGACAAAAATTCGTTGTGATTTTGTCAAGAATCTCGGCATCTATACGTATGAGTTCGGAGTAGGATGCGGTAAAAAATGTGAAACAGAGAAGCACAAGTCTTATAACAGTATAGAAAAAACGATTTATATCGTGTAAGAAAACGACGCGTGTTCTAAGAGAATATATATGAACATACAACACGTGCTATTTATAAGTTCATTGTACTCATTACATTTTCTCTGAATAAGCGTTCTTTCTTTCTATTACATTGCTTTTTTTGATATATGAAAAAGCAAAATTTTTTTCTTGAAGTCAATAGGGTCACTTAACAGAGGATCTATCTAGGCATGTCCTTGGGAATCTCAAGCTTGTATATGTCTCTATCATCGACGAAAAAATCAGCTCGTTTGCTCAAGTCTCAATTGAGATATTCAATTTTACTTCGATTGCGTGATTTATGGGCCACCGTGTATATTAAAGAAAAACATAATAGTCTTTAATGGTAAGATAACCTCTAATAATCATTAACTGAACGGTAGCCATAATGTATTGTTGGTTATTCTGATCATTTGAATATTTATATGAAATAATAACAGGTCCACGATTATCATTAGAACCATACCAGGGTCTGGGTGTGTGTTGGTGTCTATCCTCTTCCATTAACAGCCACACTTACACCCAGCCACCCACTCGCCCACACTCTTTATCGTCTGTAGCACCTTTATATTTTTCATAATCATCAACATCAACATCACCATTGATGAAATCACGTATTCTGTTGAGCAAATTTTTTTTATTAAATAATTTTCTAAAGTATTTGTAAAAATTTCATTAAACTAAAACCAAATTAAATTATATTACTTTTTATTGATATGACTAGCTGTTGGTATAAAATCATAATGCCGTTTTTCTCCGATCTAAATGAAAAAGTTTTGAGGATTAAATTTTAATAGTAAAAAAGTTACTGTTAAAGTTAAATAATAATAACGTTTTGTCAACAGCATAGGTTGTGTCGATAATAATATCACCTTTCTGATAAATCACTTGCAAAAATTAAATTATTAAGATTGTCCAAAGGTAAAATTTCTTTTTCCTAAAAATGAAAGAAATAAACAAAAAAAAAGACATACAGAATTCTTACTTCTTCCTCGACACTGACCACGACGAGACCTTCTTTCAAGAAACAGTAATGGCTTAATACCATCATGGGATCAAATTTATCACTGAATACACGTTGATGAAAAAATAGCATTGCTCCCAAAAATGTTTGCTCTGACATAGCAATGATTTATATATGAATATTATCAATTTAGATTCAAAATCTTTAAAAAAAGAGATTTGTTTTTAAAAATGAAGAGTTTGGGATAAGGGTAGGGTGAGAATAAGTGAGAAAGAAGTATACGTTATTCGATGGTGTTAATTTTTTTTTTGATATTGCAGTTTATTGTTATGCTCGGAAGCGCTTACATGGGGATGAACTTAGATTTAAAACTATAGCATTCAATAGCCTATACCAACATATTGAGGGGTTCATATTCGAGACATCCGGCTATCATGGTACACTTTTAGCTTTTTGGGGAAGAAAGATCAGAAAGAAAATAAAAAGGACAAAGAAGAGAACACAAGAAAAATCAAGGAGGCTGGATATATAAGGGAGAAAAAAAGGCAGATAAAGAAGATCAGAATGCAAGGAAAAAAAAGAAGAAGAAATAGAGAGAAAAAAGAAGGAAGCACATAAACAAAGGCACATCGATGCACACATGGATATTTAATCGACAAATTCAATCCATTTGAGCAAAAGAGTCTCCTGTCTATCTTTCAATTTTTTAACTCTTTCCATTCGGAAAAAATGACCTAGATTATCTCCTTTCCTTTTATGAAAGTTGCCCCAATAAAATATATCATTAAAAAAGGGAGAACGTCCTAAGTCCGATTTATCAATTTGCTTTAATCTTCTTTTCATGTATTTTTTGACGTAAAAATCGAGAGGATTTTCCTTAGTTATCGTAAAAAGATTTTGTTCTGATACAAAGGGACACCGATGCACTAGTCTCATTCCTACTTGAAATTTACGCCTCAAAGTTTCTTGATGGGTTTTGGGTAATATTGGAAAGAAGGGAAACAGTCAAGTAATATGCGGGAAGGTATAACTAGGCAAAAAAATATGTTCGCAATACTGTTGTTGATAAGGATTTTCTCGAAGTTTTTATAATTGACAGCAAATAGAAAAGGTGAAATCCATAAACAAATGGATAATCTTGGAAATCTTTTGGTTCACATCGAAGTTTTTTTCCATTTATTACAGGAGAAACAAAAAACTTTTATTGAAATAGATTTCGTTAACAGATTCGAGTTTCCGAAATGTGAATAGTCTTTTTTTGAGAAACATTCATACCCTGCTGAGATGGAGGAAGAGGTCGAATAGTCGATTCGATCAATACCACCATTATTGCCATCCCATTCTCATTATCAACACACAATTATAAAAGCGAAAGAAACGGAAAAAAATGTAACAATCGAAACCTTTTCAGTCGTTGCCGCATTCAGTATCACATGAGATAACATTATCGTCGAAACGTTCTGATTGAAATAAAAATCAAGAAAAATAAGAACGAAGAGTATTTTTTGAAACAAATCATTCAATGTGTTTTTCATACTAAAACAAAATCAATATTTATTTTTCTTTAAAACATCATATGTCTGCTCTCGCTTCTATCTTCATTATTTTGCAATACATTTTTCAAAGATATTTGCTTAAAAAAATAAACAAAATAAGATACTTCCATGTCTTAATTATTGACATTTAAATATTGAAATATTTTGAAAAGTCATAAACTGAATATCTTGAGAGTGAGTTTAGAATTAATTTAATCGAAAGAGAAAGCATAAATCATCCAAATAAGGATTATCTGTTGTCATTTGACTTGTTCACGAAATTCTAGGTGTTTGATTATTTCGAGCATTCACAGTCGACATACTTTATCCAGCATGAAAAATTAGATAACAGGATCTTAATCAAAGAAATGACAACTCTGATTGAATTCTATGGTGGTTTACTGCTTATTAGTGGGACCATTACTTTCATCATTATCAAACTATTTCGACGTCGAATACGAAGAATTAGTGCAATAAAAGATTAGTATCGAGAGAGTCAATGACTTTTGTCTTAGATTATCTTCAATTTTTTCAATCATAGCTCACGTTAGATGTCACCCAAATACGTTATTGTAAAAACCAGTTCGAGAATCAAAAACAACAAAAACAAAGTTTTTATATAAACAAATAAATTGAAAGTTACTTTAGTTTTTAAAAAAAATGAATTGAAATTTATATCAGTTTTTAAAGAAAATGAACATTCATAGAAGTCAGTTCCATAGTAACATTACCCATAATGTCTACTCAATCAGTTCTATATGCGTAAATAACAAAGTGAAAGAATGAATTCACCTCAAGCACGCATTATTCTACCGACGAACGCCACGAGTGCTACCAATCCTCTTGCAGCTAGTACTCCAACAGCGATTGCTCACGATACAGTAGTACAGACAAATCGTGAAGGTGAACCACCAGAATATCGTGAAATCAAGACAACCGAACAAATTCTTGAGCCGACTTTATTAGAAAAAGTTCCACCAACAAAAATGACGACAAAAACAACAACGACAACAACAGTGGAAGAAGTACCAACAGCTCCAACTTCTAAGGTAACAACGACTGTCCAAGAGACACCGGCATCAACGGACTATGTATTGAAACAAGCAGACGAATTCAAACCGATAGCTGTAGTTTCTGATACTACACCCGTCAATAGTGCCAACAATCGAATTGTGGGAACAACGAGTACAGGTAGTTTGACAACACCAGGCAAAATTGTCGGCGATTTAGAACCAATCGTTTCAGAACATCATGTAACTACAGTAGCTGAACCAGTAACAAAGAAAGTCATCAAAACTGTAACCAAAGAAACCAAACAATAAAAGCAAAAACTGTATTGTCATTCTATTCAAGCATTATTGTTAACTAATCAAGCTTTTTGTATATCAATATTTATTTCTCACTTTATAATACATCTTCACTTCATGAAACGAGATCTCACAGTCAAAATGACGATGCCAACGATGACAAGATTGTGAAAGTATCTTCATTTCTTTCGATCGAGACCATTCGAGTTTGTTATGCATAGTTTCTTGATGTTCATCGTTTTCTTTTTTTCAGGCAAAATTCATTTCTATGAGTTCCTCTTGGCTTTTGCTCTAATGACTCCTAGCTCGCTTATGCAGCACAACCTACTGGTGCTAATTGCTCTGTGCGATCTTAATGAATTTTGCTTTGCTTTCGATTAAATCAGTTATTTTTCAAAACTGGTTGTACCATGAACTATGCTCATCAAATCTTTGTCGATACTTATAAAGAGATAATCAAACAAAGAAACGATGTAAATCATCAGAATACCTTCAAAACTGAAAGTTGAACACATCCATAAAGGTCCAATTAATTTCAAATTCTCGCTCATATACAATAATAAATGAGTGTTTGAACTCATATGGCGTCAACTAAATACTATTTGAATTTGTTCGATAAAGTAATATAATAGTTCTTCAACAAGTTCAATTATTTCCTCGATGGTGTAGGTGTAGGTAAAAACAAGAACTACATCCACACTCTCAAATGATGACAAAAAAGTTTTATCGCCACCAACAGGGAGAAAGTTTCTAATATTTTTATATCACTTGATTATTATTCACTCGAAAGTAATTTCAATCGAGGTTTTTGTATGACATTAGACGAAACCAAATAGAAAATCTCTCAGCTGAACTGAATACCGATTGATTTGACTTTGAGAGATACTATTTTGAGCGTTGTTGTCATTGAAATTATTCTCAAAATCAAGTAAGAACATCACAAATGACTCATAGCACTTCAATAGCACGACAAAAATTTTAATGACATACAATTTGAACTATAATCAAAATTTGGATCCAAATTCAAGACGAAAAATTGCACTTTCAATTCGATGCTGTGCAAGACATTTGACAAATTATCAGCGCACAATTCACATTTTATGTGATCTATGAAATTTGTCGTCTCATTTATTAATCATCCATTCATTAGATTTTTGTCCTTCTCTCCGTGCGCAAATATCAACGGCTAGTGACAAGAATAAACTTTTTGTATGTTTTTGAGTTCGTTTTCATTTCAAATGAGAATCTAAAATATCGAATTGTCACAAGATTTTATAATTATTTTTTTATTTATTCAAGCTTTTGGCTGACATTTTAGTTGTCTTCAAATAAATGACGATTTATTTTTCTTTCTTTGCAAGTCAACACATTAATGGCGATTAGATTCTGTTAGAAAGTATCTCTAACAGATTCATTTTCGTATACATTGACCTTTTGATAAATGCACTCGTTGGTCTTTTTTAGTTTGCATTGTCAGTCAATTTTCTTTTTTTTCTGACTGTCTTTACTTCGTAATATGTCATTTGAAAAGTTGAAACTTGCTTCGAAACAAAAATTAACAAGTCATTCGAAGCACAAACTCGAAGAAAAAGAAGGATCTTCACACATTACCCGAAGACGCTATGCTAGTTGTTATGAGAAAAGCAGGAAATAACAATGAAGAGAAGCAAGTTATGCGACAGCAAAGAAAATAAAAACCTTCTGTTCTGATTGTGACAAATTTTTCTTTCTCGTTTATTTTAAAGAGAAGCATCACACCGCACGATAAATAATTCCAACAATAGCGAAGGCAGAGCAGATGCCCTATTATGTGTAACCTCCTGTCTAAGAAAAAAAAAGGAAAGAAAGTGTTTTTCTATTTAATTTCTTGTTAAATATAATAGAATCCACCGGTAGGTTCCATCGTCTTAAATTTGTTCACATACTGGTCTATTCATTTCGTTTTAGTTCGTATTCTAGTCTATTATTTCTTTATCCTGTTTCGTTTGATATTCATCATGACTCTCATTGTCACTGCTAATTCACATAGGCATACGAACAAACATTGATCATGGTCATTACACTAGTGAAGAATATCAAATTGAATGATGGAGAAAGAGAATGAATAAATAATAGACTGGATTACGAGGGAGAACGAATAAAACATATTGAAATGTTATTAACTCGAAAAGAAATCGTCACTTGCCTAAAGATACCCGACGCATCTATTGAAAGCTTGCACAAATAAAAACATTTTTTGAGAAGTTTTTTCACTGTTTATGTCAGTTCTTCGGTTAATATTCTTATTTGTATTCACTACTGGTCTACAACATAATCTATTAACTACATCTCGTCCCAATTTTCTTATTATCGTTGCAGATGATCTTGGCTATACAGATATTTCACCATATGGATCTGAAATATCTACACCCCACCTCGAATCTCTCGCATTATATGGTGGAACTCTTTTTACCGATTTTCATACGGCCTCAGCATGTTCTCCTACACGTTCGATGTTGCTCAGTGGAACTGATCATCATCTAGCTGGTATCGGACAAATGAGCCATATTTTACAACACTATCCAGAAATTTGGGATGGAAAACAAGGATATGAAGGATATTTGAACAATCGAGTTGTTGCTCTTCCCGAGATCCTCAAAGACATAGGTGGATATAGAACAATGATGACTGGAAAATGGCATTTAGGATTGACAAAGAAGCAATTTCCATCGAAGCGAGGTTTCGAAAAAAGTTTTGCGCAGCTACGAGGTGCTGGCAATCATTTCAATTATGAAGTTAAAACAACAGAAGAAGAGACAATAGTTGCCTTAAAGTCTTTGTTGTATGTACGAAATGACGAATTTGTTAATCATACAACTTTGCCTATGGACTATTATTCATCAGATTATTTCACATCAGAATTAATTCGATTTCTCGATGAAGATGATGAACGACCGTTTTTCGCCTATCTGGCTTTTACTGCTCCACATTGGCCTTTACAAGCGCCGAATGAGTTGATCAAGAAGTACAAAGGACGATACAATGCAGGACCAGATGCATTGCGTGCGGCTCGACTTGAAAGTCAACGGCGATTAGGCTTGCTTCCTCCTGATGTCGTCTCTGCAACGTTATCGATGAACGAGACATCATGGGCCGTGATGTCCGACGAAGAACGAGCGTTCTCAGCGAAAACAATGGAAATCTACGCAGCCATGGTAGACCGAATGGATTATAATATCGGTCGTCTAGTCAACTATCTCCATCGAACGAATCAATTCAATAATACATTTATTCTTTTTATGTCTGACAATGGAGCAGAAGGAGCTGTTCTTGAGGCACTTCCGCTTCAATCGATTGATCACAGTGTCGTATATTTTGATAATTCCTATGAAAATATTGGTACAAAGACTTCCTATATTTGGTATGGCCCACAATGGGCACATGCAACAATGGCGCCATATCGGATGACGAAAGGACACATCACAGAGGGTGGAATTCGATGTCCGGCTATTGTGTATTATAGTCCATTGACGTTGACATCGAGACGAGTATCACATGAATTTTGTACTGTCATGGATATTCTACCTACCATACTCGAATTAGCCGGTGTGGCACATCCGGGCACAACATTCCAAGGTCGACAAGTCTTTTTGCCTCGTGGAAAGTCTTGGATGTCGCATCTTCGCTGGCATCGACCAATTCATGATGCATGTCAAGCTTTCACTGGTTGGGAACTTTTCGGTGAACGGGCAATCCGTCGTGGAAATTATAAAGCTGTGTATATTGCCAAAGGACCACTTCCTAAGGAGACTAAATGGGAGTTGTATGATTTGACGAAGGATAAAGATGAATTGAAAGATTTGGCAGAAGACAAACCGGAAGTGTTGAAGGAACTGATTGAATTATGGTTCAAATATGAAAATGAAACTGGTGTAATTGTAGCACCGAATCCCTATGAACTTAGCTACAAAGATCCTCAAACCAAGAAATAGTAGTCTCATAAAGCTTTTATTCAATCTGTAAAAGAAAAGGATGTTAGTATGCTTTGTAGTGGATTGAAAATAAAAGTTTACATGTAACTTTATCAATATTGACCTAATATTTATCAATTATTTTAAAATATTTTTCAGATTAATGATGTTTAGTATTAGAGTTTTGCACGGTTACGATTTTCTGTCATTGCAATCGACCTGCATACAAACAAAAATAAATGTGTTTGTTTTTATCTTTTATTCACTGAGATTCAGAACAAATATACACATGTTTTGCCCTACCTTTCTTAAGAGATGAACAGTACTAGCAGTCTACAAAGAGGTGAACCATTTGAAATAAGATAATTTTTCTTCAGAGAAAAGAAAATGTTGAAGTCAAACTACAACTTAAAAGATTATTTGTTGTTTCGACTGCTAAAAAACAAATAAATATACATGTCGCATGTAGATATGGCGGCATCTTATTCGAACAAATTGAATTTGCTGGAAGTGAGAGAGAGCTCGAAATTTTTTAAACATAGAGTGCCGACTGTAGCTATAAAAGAAAAAGTTGTATTCTATTGTATATCTATAAATATTCTTCAAAAATGAAGAAATAAACAACAAAAGCTAGTTGAAGATATCAACGAAAGGGTCGGTTTTAGATCAAAAATCGAAATGAATAAGAAAATTTATCTCAAAATACATAATATTTGAAAGTGTATTGCCGGTTAGATGATGTCATATTGTATGTAAGAATCTTTTTATTCAAATTGACATACAATTCTAACTGAAGAAAAAATTTAAATACATCAAAGATGACCAAATTCAGCATCGATTGACTTAATTTTTTTTTTAGTATATTTTTGATCGAAAGAAATACATTTTTTGAAAAGAGATGGAAAATTTGAAACAATTGAGTTTTATCAGAGATGGAATCACGTAGTGGAGAAAGGTTTTTTTTTTTGACTTTGCATGGTCTTTTCTAGTGTCAATCAAACAGTGTGGCAATCAATATCCTCCTCACCTGTGGAAATTGATCATATGAGAAATGATTCATAAATTTTCAAGTCTCTCGACATAGGTCGTTATTCATTTTTTGTTCGATCATTGGATGAATCAGTTCTCGTACAATACATTCAAGTCGATTTGTTCTCTGTATCGATCGACGGCGAGCAAGCAGGATAGAATATATCGATACATATGGGCTGCTATGATCGAGAGTCCAATCATGTGACTGTTTAAATGAACTGTTTTCAAGACAATTTTCTTGGTTTTAGTCCGCAGCAAGGTAAATTCGTTTCAAGGATCGATAGGCTATTGCTGCGAGTTTTTATGATACTTCTCATACTATCAACAACATATCTACCTCGAGAATAAAATAATATAATCGGAAAACTTCCAGTCAATACGCATATGATTGGACTAGCACGTCGTACATCAGTAGTTAACTCATTCGGATTTTGTCTCATTGATAATATCAAGTTAAATATTTTCTACAATAAAATCTACCCAAATTTTATCGTGATGATATGTCGAACGTTTCTATATCTTTTAGATATTTCAATAATGTGATAAATACAAAATAAGGAACGAAAAAAGGAACATTTACCAAATTGATTGATGTTGTGTCTTTTTCAGTCCATATGAATAAACGCTGTTTTGTTTTTGATACGGCACTCTTAGATATCTAAGAAAAGCTTCTGGCACAATTCCAGGACGATGTAAACTTAAAATATAACAAATTCGCGTATGGTTGGTTATATTCTTTTGCCGTACTATGGTTTGAACAATAAAAATTTTTTTTCTCTTGGAAGATAGAAATAACTATAGTAGATGTTGTACTTTATGACTCATCTGTTATGGTCTGTAAACTTAACGCTGAAGGTGAGCTTGAATAATTCTGAGATTCTCTAGAAACTCTGAAGAAAACTATTGTATATGAAAACATTTGCTTTGCCTAGGGTACGAGGACAACAGCAAAAATGAAAAAGTTATTGTAGAGTACTGTTGAAGGACATTATCGTCAGACCAGTGAGATTTCTCTTTAGTTTTTTCAGGTTCGTTACCTTGAAAAATGTCTATTTCTGTTAAAAAGAATGTCGTTTTGAGAATAAGTGTGTGGACATATCATCTATCTAACCAGGGAACATATCCAATTGTTAATCGTTGATGCGGGTGGAATATACTCTAATCAATAGAGTTTGATGCAAAACATTTCCTCCCCGTTTTCATTTCCTATGGGATTAGAGCTATTACCATTTGACAAGTGTCAGTCTAATATACGTTCTCACATGCCATACTCAATTTTGCAACTAAAAAAAACTCGAAAAGTTAATTTGATATCATTAGTAGATTCGGTGTATAGCTAAATATGTAGATTAGATTCGAATCTAATCTACAATATTTAGCTATACGTCGAATCTCTGACGCTTGTTGAATGATAAAGACGACACGTTTTCAATATGACTCTATGCCGAGATACACCTTGATTTTGGTTTCAATAAAAAATGATGTAATTTGTAGATTTCGAACTATTAATAAAATATAATTCTTTTTCACAACGAAATACACTTTATTTTTTTTGTGCATATTATTAATAATGATCATTGACAGAAGAAAAACAAAATACCATAAAGATAATTCAAATAAACATATACAGAAAACACAAAATAAGCGTCCCAAACAAAAATTAAGATAAACTTGACATAGAATTGATATGATGATTAAAATAAAAGAAGTATTCTGAAAGACATTAATCGTTTTTTCAATTTGCTAATTTTTCGATTGTAACAAAATGGAAAATCGAAAACAATATATATAGTTGTTTTTTTTTTATATAGAGAATTGTCAATAATTTTTTCTTTTGTTGTGCTTATATTGCACTTCGAGAAAATCAAAACGAACAAAACAAACAAACAAACAACATACTAAAAACAATAGTTATATTGTATACAATAATAAGTGATAAGTGAAACAAATTGAAAAATAAAATAAACATATAATTATTATTAAAAATTTATTTCATTCATCATCAAATGTATCAACTGCATCATCATAATTACTCGTATCACTACTATTATTACTGTTGGAAGTTGATATAAATGATTTTTGATAATTTCTAGAATAGATCAATCAATGAATAGTAGTCAATGTATAATGAAAAATCAAAAAGAATCACACATATGTATGTATATACAGAAAAGCAAAAGCAACAATGAAATGCCCGATATCGCATATATAAAAAATACTAAGAAAAAAAAAAGAAACAATACAGTTATGACATGAAACAAAAATTGAATAGTTTTTAAACTGTTTCGAATGAGATAACATTTTCTTACAATTATCATTGTTTTTTTTTTTGTTCTTCCTTAATTATTATTATTATTAATCCAATTTTCAACATTTTTTCTTTTCGAATTTGCTGAATTGTCTTCTGTATCTTCATGAATAGATTTTAAACGATTTTCATCATTATCAATAGATATTTCATTATTATTATTATTATTATTATTATCATCCATTAAAATATTTTTTGATTGTTCAAAATAATCTTGTTGTTCAATTTGACTTATAATACTACAACCAGATGATGTACGTGAATGTGTTTTTAAATGATTTTTCATTTGTACAGATGTATCATTATTAATATTTGTTGCACCATCAGATAAAGTTCGTTGATGATTTTTTTTTATTGATGTTTTATCCATATCAAATGTTCCACTTGATGCACGTGTATGTTGTTTTTTAATTGAATTAATTAATTGTGGATCAATATAAATTGTTGATGTATCAGATGTTTGTCGAGAATGTCCATAATGTGCTGGAACTTTTGGTAAAACTTTTGATAATGATTCATTTGGTATAATATTAACAATATGTTGACGTTGTTGTTGTTGTTGTTGTTGTTGTTGAAATGTTCGATGAAGAATTTTATAAAATTCTCGACTATTTAAACCATGTGATGGTGTTGTTGTTATTGTTTCATCATGATTTAATATATTATCAATAATTTGTTTATATGCACGTTGATTTTCATATGTTATATCAATAATTTGTTTATAAATTTGATCAGCACCACTATAATCAAATATTCCAATTGTTGATATACGTGAAGTTTTATTTAAACATCGACCTAATTTTTGACGATTAAGTGTAAATATATATGGAATGTCTTGTTCTTTACATAGATTTATAATTTTATCAATAACATCATTAAGACCACCTTGACTTTGTATTGATTGACAATCAGGTGCAATTAAAACACATTTTAAACGTTGTAAACGTAAATGTTTTGTTACTTCACGTATACCATGTACAAAACGACGTTTACGTCGTACACGTTCAGGATTTGATTGAAATTGTTGTTTTTTACGATCTTGAAAACGTTTTAATGTTATTAATAATTGTATACATAATTCATCTAATTGACGATCAATTAATTGTGAACAATATTCACGAAAAGCAGCATCATGTATTTGTTGTTTTATATTTGATTGTGGCATTTGTTGAGCATAAGGTGTTTGTAATTGACTTGTTGGTTCATGATCAAGTATTTCATCATCATCATCATCATCATCATCATCGTCATCGTCATCGTCATCATCATCATCATCGGTTTCATTATTTGATTCTTCTGTACAAGATGCACTGGTATATTCATTCATATTAATAGGACATACGTCGATAGAACTGAAACGAACCAATATTGACACCGAATAATTGTGCGTACACAATTTAAAAGCTGAATGTTTTTTTTTAATGCACACGAAAATAAGACAAAAGCAAGAATAATAGCATGAGGAAAATTTTTAGATTAGAAAAGCATTATTTAATTAGTAATAGAACATGCAGAAAAAAGGAAATAGTTAACTTACTCATCTGTAATAATAAGATTATTAGTATCAGTTTCATATTGAATATCTTTTTCATCAGTTTGTTTAATTATTGTAGATTTACCAAGTGATTGTTGTCGTTGTTTCTGATTTTCTTCAAGTTCTTTATTAATAATACGTTTAAGTTTTGTTGGTTTACGTGGTTTTGGTTGTTCACGTTCTTTTCCACGTTTTGGTGCTGGTTTTGAATCAAGTGGATTAGTACTATTGATTGTTTTTATTGATGATTTATTTGTTTTATTAAGAGAATTTTCTTGTTTTGTTTGTGTTGATGTACTTAAAGCATTGAACATATCTGTTAAACATATTTGATAAGTTTGATTTGCTTTTATCTTTGATTTAATAATCAATCCTGGTGTAGAAGCTAAGAAAAGAAAAAAAAGAAATATAGATTTAAAATTGATTTTTGTTTTTTTTTTATAATACTTTTATCTTTTGTTGAAAAATCATTTTCAGATTTTTTTATTATTGGTATAGATGTATCTTGTCCTAATGTTGGAAATGCATTTTCATCATCAAGTACAAATGGTATTGATTCAATTATTGTTGATTGTTCTTCTTTGACTTTATTTTTTCGTCGTTCTGAACGTTTTTGTTTTGTTTGTATAAATCCATCATCTTTTGTATTATTTATTTTTTTATCTTGTTTATTTAATAATTCATCATTATTAGTTAATGATTGTGAACGTTGTTGTTCGTTTAAAGAAGTTTGTTTCGAAGTATTATTATTATTATTATTATTATTATTGGATATTTTTGATTTTGATTGTATTGAAGATTTTTTATTATTAGAAGATTTTCGTTCATTATTTGATACTTTTTTTTTATTTGATGTATGATTTCGATTAGTTTGTTGATTTTCAGTTAATTTTAAAGAATGTGGAGATATGGAATGAGGTCGTGGAGTAGAAACGATAGTATTCCAAGAAGGTGTTGGTCTAAAAGAATTGTTTTATTGAAATGCATCTAGTTTTTGATAGAGTAAGAAAAGTACTCGTGATAATCACACACAGATTCTGTTTATTCGAATTATTTCAGTGAACATATATATGATAGATAGTCGATATACACAGAGCGAATATGAATTTTGCATTTAAAAAAACAACAGATTATTTTATCTGTAGTAAATTTTTATTATGGATTGTAATAATATTTAATCTCCTTTATAATTTATTCGAGAAATTTGCTCGCATGACTAACTTTTTATATCTGGATCGGGCGGGACGTGTAGCACCTACTAAAGAATCGCAACCTATTTGAACATTTTTTTTTTAATCATTTAGTCAAAAAGGAATTTAAAAAAAATGTCCAAACTCTTTAGATTTATGTTCTTTTTCAATAATGTCGAAACATACATAGAGCAGTCAAAAAGTAGTGAAAATAGTATTGTAATTCTTTATAAAAATTTTTAAGAAACACTTTCTCTCTATATAGTCTGATAGAGAAAAGAATGCTCTATTTTTCTATGCTATTTGATTATACTTCAACGAGTATTGTAATAATAAAATTTCGATTTCTATCATATGGGTCAGAACAATGAATTCTTAATTTTCAGATGTGTATTCAAACCACTAATGGAAGGTCCACAAAACTGCATTAATCATTCAGGAGTTATACGTATTCTCTAGTCGAAGTTCTAAGTTTATTTTTCTGAAAATTTCTGTAATAAAAAAGTTTTTTTTTTTGCTGTTTCTGTTTTTGATAAGAAATCATTTTTCCACACTTAGCAAATTGATTTAACAAATTCCAGACAATATCCTAGGAAAATGTGTAATATATAATTCGATGCATCTTCATCTCCTCTTTCAAACAATGAAAATTGCAGCTCTCTATCTCGTTTTCTATCAAAAGTTATGTTGAAACTATCCACTAAATAGATATTCATACTTAGATCTTTAAATAAAAATATAAAAGTAAGAAGATATTTTTAATTTTATTTTATCAAATGTTGAGGATAGTTGTCATGATTATTTATGTCAAGTTCAATTCTTTCTAAAAGTTTATTTAGTTAATTAAACTCCCTTCGATAGAGCTCCTTAATCAAAGATTAGATAATATTAGGTACGACGAATATGACTGCTGCGGCATTATATAGGTGTTCTCTTCTGTCAAATAACTAATAACATTGGATGAGTATGAAGTTAACGATGATCTTCAAGCAGTTTTGTACATGTTGCACTTTATATCTCTTTTTATTTTCATATTACATTTACAAAAGGCTTCAGACAATTTTCAATATAATACTTGTAATCTACTGTCATGCCTTTATCTACATTCAGAGCTATTTGATTTAAAACATATGTTAAACAAAGTTTGTATTCAAATCTATCTTCATGAACAATAGTCTTTGATGATTCATCCTCAATAAACCAGTTAGAATCAGGTGACTTATGATTAACCTATATAAAATAAATCTATACTTCATTACTAGTACTACTAGAACGCAAGTGATAACATCTGACAAAACTTCGTTAACATTTTTTTCGAAAAATAGTTCAAAAAAAAAACCTTGAATAAATTGTATCGAAAGAAATGAACTTGATATAAATAATCATGGCAACTATCCTCAACATTTGATAAATTAAAATTAAAATGATCTCCTTATCTTTATATTTTTATTTAAAGATCTCAGAACTTTTAGTCAGACCTAAATACATCCGATCTATATATAATAGCAAAATAAGTTTTATCGAAATTTTATTATTTCTTAAAACTTTCTATAAGGAATTACAGTACCATTCTCACTACTTTTTGACTGCCCTATGTAAATAACGATAGACATTACTGTATACACATAGACGGAATCGCTGCTAGGCATGTGCGGGACCAAATTTATTTTCGTCCTGGTTCCAGTAAAAGTTTAGTTTTTAGTCCCACACATGTCTAACTGCAACACAGATATAAAAGGTTAATTACACGAAAAGTTTTGTTTTTTTTTGAATTCTTAAATAATTGAATTTGACTCTCAAATTTTGACTAACTTTGTATTTGTCGATGTAAGTGATTGAGTTGAAATATTATCAGATTGTTGATTATTATTAATCGGAAGACTTGGAAAATCTTCTTGTCGAAATTCAAATGGAGTTTCATCATCATCATCATTATTATTATTAATATGATAACCATTGGTATAATTAAAATTCTTGTTTTTTGATTCATCATGTTGTTGTTGTTGTTGTTGTATTGAATGTGAAGGAATTCGTTTATTACTTGTTGAATAAAAATTTCGACGATTATTAAATGTTGTTGATGATGATACTTGTTGATCATAATGAAAATTTCGATAATTATTCGAACGATATGATGTATGATTATTACCAGTACGTTGTTGTTGTTGTTGTTGTTGTTGTTGTTGTTGTGGACGAAATGATGAGATTCGATTAGATTTTGTTTGTTGATATGAATAATTTCTTAATGATTGTTCAATATAATCAATTGGATAAAATGTTGATGTTTGATCATTTGATGGATAAAGTATTTGTTGTGTTTCAGAAAAACATGTATTTGTTGGTAAAAGAACAATTTGTGATGAATTTGTATTTGTTGATGAATTTGAACATGAATCAATATGAAATTGTTGTGGTGATTGTATATGAAATTCAATTTCAGGAAGTTTTATTAATGGATAAACTAATTGTTGTTGTTGTTGTTCAGATGAATAAACAGATGTATCACTAATATATAATGGAATTGTTGCTGTTGTTGTAGTTGTTGATGGAGGAATTTGAATTAATGGTACAAATTCTTTTGCTTCAGGTGAAAGAACAGATGATGAAGATGTTGTCATTATTTATTGAGAAATAAATAAATAAATAAATAAATCATCAAAAAGATCTTTGAATTTTTTTTTTATGGAAACAGTATTAAGTTTGGGTATTCTATGGATTATATGACAAGATTAGAAAATAAAATAAAATATTCTGTAAAATAAAATTTTAAAAAATAAAAATTAAATTAAATTTGAAAGAAATTATTTTAAGAGTTTTTTTTCTTTTAGTTTTTGAATCACATCGATTGTAAGGACAATAATGATTGGTTAAAATAATTTGATCAATAAGATTTGAATGTAAGAAAGGTGATCATCATTATCATTATTATTATTATTATTATTGTTATATAAACATGGCATTAGCTAATGTACTTGGTTTTAATTCCAATGATGGATTCAATCGTTCACTTCAGTGTAAAAAAACTGATGCTAACATTGATGAATTTTGTCCAAAATTAAATATAGATAATATTGCAAATTTTATTACTTTACCACCTTATGCTGATGTAAAGTATTTTCTTTTTTTTTTATGTTTATCTGTATGTTTTTTTTGTTTCTTTAAGCCTGCGAAATATTTAAAAATGATTAATGAAAATGTTGATCGAGTTAAAATAAAATTTCTTAAAGGTACAACAACATTAGCATTTAAATTTCGTAATGGAGTTATAGTAGCTGTTGATAGTCGTGCAACAGCTGGTGGTTTTATTGGTAGGAATTTAATTAATTAAGAAAATTTCTAATTATATATTTAGATTTTTCTTTTAAGCTTCTGGAGAAGTCAAAAAAGTTATTGAAATTAATCCATATCTATTGGGTACAATGGCTGGTGGTGCTGCTGATTGTGCTTTTTGGGAACGTGTACTTGCACGACATTGTCGTATATATGAATTACGTAATAAAGAAAAAATATCTGTTGCTGCTGCATCAAAAATTCTTGCTAATATGATTTTCGAGTATCGTGGAATGGGTTTATCAATGGGTACAATGATTGTTGGTTGGGATAAACGAGTATATAATTATTTTATATTAAAATTATTTATTTTTGTTTTTTTTATATTCATTTAGGGTCCTGGTTTATATATGGTATCAGATGATGGTGAACGTATTAGTGATAATTTATTTTCAGTTGGTAGTGGATCAATATATGCATATAGTATTCTTGATGCTGGTTATAAGTAAATAAAAATTCATATTATTTTTTATTAGGAATTTTGAATGCGAATGATGAAAAGTAGATCTCGAAATTAGGTCACTTTTTAATTTACGAGACAAGTTTTTATGTAAAATGTCAAGTCGATGTTTGAACATCAGTTTTATTATAAAGGTACAACATCTCTACAACAATAAGTTGAGGCTTTCCCGTCCTCAAAAAGGTCGCTTTTCGCTAGAATCATCGAAATTGAGATAAATAACCCGTTTTTCTCAGAACGTGGGTTCAACGATGTATCTCCAGCAGAACTCTATCATAGTAAAAGATACAGTCAAATATTTTGTTTTTGTTTGAACGCTTGTAGCTCTTTTTTTAAAATAAGCCTTTTTATTATCATATAAGAAAAGGGTTTTTTGAGTCATTAAATTTGTCATTCCATTTCTTCGCGTAAAAAGTAAGACTAGGGGCTAGCCCTCGGCACAAGCTTTCAAACAAAAAAAGAAAGTTTAAATGTATAAAATGAATGCCCATAGAGAGATCTTGGCACTACGATATGGCTAAAAATTGTACCATAGTCATCGTTCACCAGTTCCAACATATTCTGAAAGTTTTCATGCAATTTGGATGTTCCTGGGCTGAGATCGATTTTTGAGAGAGATGGCCCTATGGATACAAAATTCTTTTCAGTGTATTCATCACTCATTTAGACTTACAAAATGCATACTGTCTCAGTTCAAAAGCGATTTATCAGCTGGAGAACTTCCAAAGTGTTTCTATGTTGAGAAAAATAAGTTTTATTGCTTTTCTAGAAAACTCTTAGCTGAACTCGAGAATGCTATATAATGGGTGTTATGACCGGACGAACATTCTATGAAAGTTTCGTACAATTTGAAATTATGCAAGTTCATTATGCGAAGCACATGTTTCTGTGAAAGTACTTGATTATTAAAGAAGAATGACTTTTTTTTTCGAATCCCAAATAGATAAGAGCGAAAGTTTTTTAAAAAAAAAAATATATATGTTGCCCTATTTAAGCCATTTAAAAGGTATATTTGTTTAATTAAAGATTAAAATCAAATAAGATCCATCTTTAGAGTTGAAAAACCAGATTTTGTTTTTGCTACATGGGAAATCTTCTTTGAAAAAAAAAGAATTCCGTTTATTTTGATAAATATTTTATTTGAAAATGTTTATTTTTAAGATATGACATGAGTACAAATGATGCAATTGATCTTGCTCGTCGAGCTATTGTACATGCTGCACATCGTGATGCTGCTTCAGGAAATATTGTTCGAAGTAAATATTAATACTTTTTCATATTTATCATATATGAAGTATTTGTTTTTCTTTAATATAGTCTATCATATGAAAGAAACTGGTTGGGAAAAGATTGAAGAAAAAGATACAAATGATTATATGTATCAATATCTTGAAGATAAAACGATGAATTTTTAAATAAATTTAATTAGTTGATAATTAAACTTCTTAACAAAACAACATCTACTAAAATTGTTTTTTTTTTTTTTTGTTCTTGTTTTAATATATTAATCACGAAATATGAATAGAAAACAGAAAACAAAAAAAAAATTAAATTTTTATACGTTCTAGATTTTTCCGATGTTTGAGTAATGACAGAAAGTCATTCAATTCGTTATTGGTTTGCATTAATTATTTCTTCTATTGTTTCTATTATTGTTGCTTTAGTTATTATTGCTTTATGTAAGTCATCAGGAATGCAAATATTCTTGGAAAATATCTCGTTTCATTTTTCATTTGCTAAAATATACTTTCGAAAAAAAATCAAAGAACATCTAATGCAGAATCTACGTTGAAAAATTCTTTCTAACCTTAATATTGCTGATCTGCTGAAAGGACGAATACGAACATTGAAAAAAGAAAAAGATTCAAGAGTCCATGGTTCCATTGCCAGGATCCATAGATTTCCAGTAGGAGCTTTGAAACAAAAGTTCGATGATTCCTAATTTCGACAGCTGGCTATCGAATTCATACTTTCAAGTTTCTATCCTTTTTGCATCATACATAAAAAAAATATATATATTTATTTTTATATATTTCAAATTTTCTTTTTTTCTCTTTGTTATTTAGCTTGGTATTTATTGTGGAAATTTGTTTTAAGTCGTTTTGGTGTTATTCGTGCTTTATTTCAAATAAATAGTAATAACGATCAACAACCAAAACAACAAACAACATCAAAACAAAAACTTTATCGTCGTCAACAACGACGTCGAGAATGAGTTTTCCTATAGGTCGATGTTTTTCATTAACAACTTTATCTGCATTAATTTCATATCATTATATACGTTCTATACATATACAACGTGAATCATTATGTACATCAAATGAAGCTTGGTATCGTTCAATACCATTACGTGAAATATCACGATTTTGGTCACGAGTTTTTTCTATAAATATTTATCCTCGTTCTATAAGACATTCTATATATAAATATTTTTGTCGTATTTTTGATGCTGATATTAATGAATGTGAATATGGTCCTGATCATCTTGATTATTATGCAAATTTTGGAGAATTTTTTCGACGAAATCTTAAAATTGGTGTACGACCAATTGATAAAGAAAGTTTAATTGTATCACCATGTGATGGTGAAATACTTGCAAATGGCCTTGTAACATCAGTTGAATATTTAAATATTGTTATTAAAGGTATTCCATATACAATAAAAGATTTATTTCAATTGGATCAATATGAAATTGAATCTTTACAAAAGAAACAAACTGAATCATCACTTTTTTATGCTTGTATTTATTTAAATCCTGGTAATTATCATCATTTTCATAGTTCAGCAAAATGGAAAATTAATGAACGTCGACATATAACAGGTATGATGAAAATGAAAAAAACAAAAGGATGAAGGTGCATAAGGACCTGTTTTGACGCACTTAAATTGGCAGATGTAACTAGGATAGATGCTTCTTATGAGACAGAATTACGAATCAATGAGCTCATTGATAGTATGAGCATGTCTGGAGTTGCATTTTTATATCAAAAGATTATATGAATGATCTTTTGTTGAGCCGAGAATGGACGAAGAAGAACATTTGAATAGCTCAAATTTCACTAGTCGATCTTGGGAGTCTAATATCTCAGAAAATAAAAATGAACATATCACCAAAATTTTAGTGTTAACAGAATACATGAGGAGCTAACATTAAAAACTGAGTCGATCTATATGTGTTTCAAATTGTTCAGACAACTTTTATTTTCGTCGAAAAATTCACCCATGACTCCTCCTCTCAGTGTTCAATGGAAAAATGAAGTTAATCAAAATCTCATTTGGACACTTGAAAATAAACTCTGATCTTGTAATATGATAATAGAGTACAAAAAGACAGATGACTACGCATTAAAAATAGAGCGTTATGGTTGAACTTTGAAGAACAACTTAGGTGAGTTTTTTGAATGAAAATAAAAATTATCCCAACAATTTGAAACACATATGCGGCAACTCAGTTGTGTAAGACTTAGCAGCAACATTTACACATTGGTTAGATCTGCCAAATTAAGCGCTACAAAGTAGGTCTTTTATGCTCATCTGTTCTTTTCAAATTTAATAATTTAATTTTTTTTATTATTATTATTGATTATTTCTAAAGGTGAATTAATGAGTGTTCGACCTGAATTTATAATTTGGATACCAAATTTACTTTTACTTAATGAACGTGTAGTTTATTTGGGTGAATATGAACATGGTTTAATGAGTCAAACAATGATTGGTGCAACAAATGTTGGTTCAATTGATGTTTATTTTGATCAAACATTAAAAACAAATCAAAAATTCGATGATTATACATTTCGTATATGGAAAGAAAAATTTTCAACAATAAAACCAATTTATTTTGATAAAGGCGATCCATTTGGAGAATTTAAATTAGGTTCTTGTATTGTACTTATATTTGAAGCACCATCAACATTTCATTTTATTCGTCATACCGGTGATAAGATTCGTGTTGGAGAACGATTATAATTTCTTCTTGTTTTGTGTTTTGATAAAATAGATTGAACAATTAATCAAGCTTTCAGGTATGATGTCTTTTGTATAACATTTACACCGTTTGATTCTTCTTTGTCTTTCGTTTTTTTTTTTTTTTGCAATAAAGTTACATCATTCGATTGTTTGTTTTTGTTTTTTTCGTTGTTGATTTAAATAAAAACAAAAATAAAGATTTTGTTTCTACAAAGATTGAAACATTTCTGTTTTATTTTAACATTTAAGGCTCCCCCTCCCCCCTCAAAAATCGATCTCAGCTCCGGAACATCGAGATAGCATGAAACTTTGTGGATATGTTGGAGGTGTAAAAGTACGTCTATCTACCAACGACAAAACGACTGCAAATCGTATTTTTTGGTGTAAATTTTGATAGAAACAAGATAGAGAGCTGCGGTTTTCACTGTTGGAAAGAGGAGATGAAGACGCATCGAAATGTATATTATAAGTTTCTTTAAATATGTTTTCTGAGGCTTTTTAAATCGATCATCTAAAAAAGGTAGCGGAAAAATAGTTTTTATGAAAAAGAAAAAAGAAAAAAAATGCTTTTTTTTACAAGAATTGCTAGAAAAATCGGCTTATAGTTTCGAGTAGAATACCTATAACTCCTAAATGATTGAAGCTAAGAATCTGAGCCTTGCACAGTTTTATAGATGTTCAATTATCACTTTCAATACATATCAGATAATTGAAAATTCACTATAATCACCTATTAAGAACGTTGTTTTTCAAAAAGCTCAATTGAAAACCTTAGAAAAACCAGGTCAAAAGGTCTATAACATATGACTCGATGCGTCTTCATCTCCTCTTTCCAATAGTGAAAATCGCAGCTCTCTATCTTGTTTCTATCAAAAGTTACACCAAAAAATACGATTTGCAGTCGTTTTGTCGTTGGTAGTATAGTAAAATTTTCAGCCTTCTATCCTGATGTATAAGGTAGATACGAACCAAACAAGGGTCGAAAAATAGCTTATCGTAGCCCCAAAAAATCTCTATGGGTGTTCATTCAATATGGTTCATTGTTTTTTTCATTTGAAAGAGCATGTCAGGATGCAGTGCCTATGAAGGCCCTTGTTTTTAAATTCTTATCTTTAATATGAAAAAAAAAGTTCACAAATTCAGTCACTCAAAGATCCCTCAAAAAAATGATGCTTATATTATAAAATCGCTTTTCAATATAATAATAGGAAAGCTTTATCAAAAAAAGGGCCCTCATAGGCACTGCAGTTTTTAATGCTCTTTCAAACAAACAAAAAAATATTTGACTTTATATCGGATTATAATTGACTTTTGGTGGGGCTACGTAATTCGACCACTATTTTGAGAAAAAACGAAAAAGATTTTTGAGTTTTTCGAATAGGGGTCGTCAAAAATTATGAAAGAGCAAATGACAGGCTATCATCCCATGTATTTATCTCAATCTTGGCCATTCTGACGAAAATTAACTTTTTTGAGGGGGAGGGCCTTAATGATTAGAATGGGATAGAAAAATCTAACAGAAAATTATTCAGATATAGTGACATTGGTTTTGTTTTGTTAAATAGAATTTATTATAAAAATTAATGAAAAACAAAAACTACCGATTATCTTCTGTCTGCTCAATAGTGGTAACAGGATTGATTTTGCACTAATTCACCAAGCTATCGTGAAACTTTCGGAATTTATATTAGTAAGCCGTCTTATCAATCTATATATTTCTCAACAAGCACGAAAGATCACAAAATATTCTATATATAAGAAAAACTCAATTTTTTTCATTACTTGAGAATTATCTATTTTTTAAGCTCGATATTTTAGAGATGGAATAAAATGTTCTTTTTTATCCATTGATAGTTGATGAAATTTATTGTAAAATATGTTTTTTGAAGCTTTGAAATACTATGCATTGTTTAGTTTTTCTAATCGATCTATAAATGTTCATTACAGTGATCGATAGGGAGTACAGAGTTAAGAATAATTTTTGATAAAGATTTGAGATCATGTTAGACTTTTTTTTTAAACATGTTATTTGTATCGTTCATTTCGGATGTTCTTGACCAAATATATTCGCATCGCAAAAGTAAAACATTCACAAACTATTTATTTAAATTATTTCAATAAATTCTATTATCTATAGTCAATTTTTGAGAAAGTAAATTTCAGTAATTCAATATAATCTCAACGATGAATATATCATCTTGATAATAACTAAGTAGAGAGTAAATGTTAGAATTGAAGAAAAGAAGTCGATCGAGTATAAAGCAATAATACTTGAGATGATTCAAACAATCAGTGTACAATCATTATTTCCTTTTTGATATTTTTTACTAAATTCCCACGTGATTGAAACCGTCAATAGACTGAAAACGAACCGAACCGAACTCGAACTGCTTCTCCAAAACATAGTGAAATGTTGTCTAATGTTAAATGAAAAATGATGATGCGGTGGGCGAAGATAAAACAAGTTTTTATTGACTGTTTCACATGTCTAATTTAACCTTAGTGTATAACAATTATTTTTCTCTTCATAAAGGTTGGACTAAATGTGTTTATGATGATAGGTCATTCGATGCGCCATAATACTTTTATTCTTTTCATTCGTAATTGTGCCATTTTTCTACAGTGTAATGAATAATCGTGGATAGTAGTGTAAGGTTAATATCAACACTAAAAAACTGCTGACTTTATGTATTAATATTAAAAATTTACATTAATCCACAAATGTATAAATTATCGGTAATTCATGAAAATACAAACCTTAATGTGACATCTTTGATTGTTTGAGAAACAACTTTTCACTTGTGGTCTATTTGTGACCATGTGGAACTCATACTAGTCGAACCGAATCGAACTCGATACAAAAAAACTCGGTTCGATTTGACCTCTGTTTCCGAATGATCCCTATTTATTATGATGAGCACCATACCAAACGAGTAACATAGGCGCTGTTGACAATAATCTTTATATGAATTCATATATTTCCATAGTCTAATCAAATGAAAACATAAAATCTTCAATAATCAGATAAAAAATTATTGATTATAATGAGAAATTATTTAGGATTTATCCAGATTCTTGATCTTCTCATGTTACAAGTTTATTCGTACTACTACGATACCCATAAGAACTGGTTGTAGATTGCCGGTCAGACAACAATACAGTTTATCGGAGGTTTTTTTATTCGACTCGAATCGCATAACTTATTATTTCTCTAGTTAACATGATATTCTGAAAGATGTTATATATGACTAATCTATTCGATGATACTCTTAGATTTGATCACTAGTTCTCATTCACTTGAAGACTAGATAAGAAAGACTTTATATATTTTTAATTCGATTAGAGATCAATACGTTGTTATGCTGTTCGAATTTTTGCATCAATTTTATTTTTCATTCAATCTTGAAATCAACAATGACCATCATAGATTCCCATTTCATTTTTCTTTTTCTTCCATTAATCTATATATTTCATATAAAAGATTTTTTTTTTGTTCTGTAATTTTAGATATGACATCACCAACTGATCCTAAAGATTTTTCTAAATTACGTTCAGTTGCACCAATAAATACTGATCCTAATGCTGCACCAGCAACAGTTTGGGATAAAATAAAACAAAATTTTGCTATGTTTATTGAAGTATCAAAAAATAGACCAATAAGTGAAACACTTTGTTTAAAAGAAGCACTTATTTTTGGTAAATAAAATTGAAAAATCTATTTAAAATAAACAAAAAAATATATATATATATTTTTTGTTGTTTTCTTTCATATTTTCAAGGAATACCTGGTTCATTTGTTTGTAGTATGGCTGCATTTCTTTTAACAACAAATCGTATTCGTGTATTTCAAACAGCTGTAATTTCTTTACCAATTTTAAGTATGGGACGTTTTACACAATGTCGTGCAGCAAAACATCATGAACGTAAAGCAACAATACTTGTATCAAAAATGATACGTGCTAAAACATTAACTGATGGTACAGCTAAACAAGCAGAATTTGAACGTTTATTTGCAAAATCTAAAGTTGAATTAGCTGAACTTGAACGTCAACTTGATGAAATTATATCTAAACAACAAACTGGAGGAACTTAAAATTCTTTCTTTTTTTTAAAAATCTTTATAACGGGAAAAAGAAAAATTCTATTTCCATTCTTCATATTTCTAGATTTATGGCATCACGAACAGTTCTTATTACTGGTAGTACAAGGTATTTTCTTTGTTATGTTATTTACATTTATAGATAGAAAACTACGTTTGGCTTCAAATAATTCGCTGTTTAATTCTCTCTATAAAATCACACTAGGACAATCGAAGAACATTCAACTTCTTCAATATCTACCGATTTCTAGAGGATGTTTTTTCAAACAATTGCTATTTTATTTTGAGCGAACGAGAGATAGCATAGAAAACTTTATTCTAGCAGTAGTTACAACTCTTTGTTGTTATGTACAATGACGAACATTTATAAAAAGAAAATTATAACATAGAAATGAGTTTCTTTACATTGAGAGACAAGTCCTATGTTTAGTGGAAATATTCATTATCAATGATGAGGTAACCTCATCAATTGATGCTCTCTAGTTAAGTTCATAGAGTAGAGAAAATTCGCAAAAGTATTCTTTTCATTGCCTCTTTGTTTCTGAGAAACTAAAAATGACACTAATTTTCAGTCAACTTGCAATCAGAAAATATATTTTGTGCAGAAGAATGATTTACTTCCGTATGTTCTATAAGAAAATCACGTCTATTTTCTATTATGTTGCAAGAACAGATGAATGAGATATAGAAAAGAAAATTTCTACTATATGAGCTCAAACAGATAGTATCAGTTAGTAAAGTTCTCTCGTGAGCACAAACTTGAACGTTTATCATATGTACTTCATCTTCTGTTCTATTGACTTTCTTGCAAATTGAGGATCCCACCCAAAAAATGTCAAATTTGTTGATTTTGTGATTTATAGCTCGTTAGATAGAGTTAAGTGTCTACTTTCGAATGCACTATAGTTTATTGATTTTATGATGAGATTTAAGGATATTGCATAGGCTTTTCTGAACATCCCATAGGAGAAAATAAGGTTTTTTCTCAAAATAGGATTTTTTATTTTTACATTTCCGTCCGTCTTAGATTTCTCCGCCATTTTAAATTCTAGAAAACTGGACTTGGTGTCAAAATGAAGGCAAAAATTAACTCTACAACTTAACAGATTCGGATTTTTCGATTTCCTCATTACTGTTGATAAAAAAACTAATTTTTCTGGACCTATTCACATTGGCTTTTTCATATTTCATCAGAGAAATTTTCTAAAAACACAAGCTAGGAGAAAATCGAAAAATTGGGGTCCTCTTAAGTTGTAGCACCACATATTGGCTACATTTTAAAACCAGTCAGAACTTTCTAGCGTTCGAAATGTCGGAGAAATTTGGAACGCACGGAAACTTAAATTTTCCACTCATAACCTTATGCTAACTCTTCGTACACCCGATATATCGAGCTGAAATTTTTACTTTCAGATGTCTAGCTTGAGATACACCTCCATTAGAAATTTCATTTTAGAGATGGGCCTCCTTAATCGAGACTTTATGTTGGAATTTTCCACTCTGATCATCTTGCATTAAAATTTCCTCAAGTTTTAAGAGTATTGATTCAAAGTAATGGTTATCACAAACGAAAGATCAATTCTTTTAAATATCGATCTATGATGAAATAATTAGTCCTTGAAGACTTCGATGTGCAGCCAAACGATAGATAAATATCCTCTAAAAAAAACTTAAGCTGTAGTAACAGAATAGAACAGCGAATATATTGAAGTCGCAAGTGTTAATTTAATAAATTGTCATTATTATTATTATTTATTTAGTGGTATCGGTCTTGGTATCGCTCGTGCATTTGCTAATGCAAAATATAATGTCATATTTCATGGATTAGAAAAAAATGGTAGTGATATTGCAGCTAAAATAGCACGTGAATTTCAAGTTGCTCATCTATTTTCACCTGCTAATGCTCTACATTCAGATCAATTACGAACAATGGTTGATGAAGGTTTAAGACGATTTAAACATATTGGTTTGTTTTTTTTCTATTTGAAATTTATTAAGGTTTCTTTTTCTTTAAATTTCAGATGTTTTAGTCAATAATTGTGGTATTCAACATGTTTCACCAATTGAAACTTTTCCTGAAGATAAATGGGCTGATATTCTTCGTATTAATTTAACATCAGCATTTATTCTAACAAAAGCTTTAATGAAACCAATGAAAGAAAACAAATTTGGTCGAATTATTAATGTTGCATCAGCACATGGTCTATTTGCAAGTGAATATAAATCTGCATATGTTGCTGCTAAACATGGTTTACTTGGTTTAACAAAAGCAACAGCACTTGAAGGTGCACCATTTAATATTAATTGTAATGCCATTTGTCCTGGTTATGTAAGAACACCACTTGTTGATGCACAAATACGTGATCAAGCTAAATCTCATGATATTCCTGGTAAAAATTATCTTATTAGAATTTTTTTTTTTTTATTAATACTATTTATTATATTCTAGAATCGGAAGTCATACCACGTGTCATTCTTCAAAAACATGCTGTTAAAAAATTTGTACCAATTGAACTTATTGGCAATTTATCTTTATTACTTGCTGATGAAATAAGTGCTACATTGTAAGTTTCGTATAATTAGAAGATGTGAAAATTTGTACAAGATCATTTATGTTTCTGTACGAGCATTCGATGTTAAAGAAGAACGAATTCATCGAGTGAAAGACACAGTTTAAGATTATATATAATCTTCTCAGGAGTGTTTCCCCTTGATTGGTTTTTTTTATTCATAGTGAAAAAAAAAACCTTCTAATCCTTACTAGAGGCATTTTTCGATGAAGTTTTCTGCCTAATACTTATAAATGAAAAAAAAACGTTTTGCGTCATTAAATTATTTATATATCAAAGTATATATTGATCTATTTTAGTCATTACCAAAGTATACTTGTAATTTTTTACCTCATATCTGTCTGGATACTCGTCGTGAGACATAAGGTTTGACAGTAAAATCTACCCATGTGATTCAAATCGCAGAAAAATTCGGTAGATTTTCGATATAATATGTGCTATACTAGTAGTAGTTTGATACTTACATGATCGATTATTTTCTGATCGTCATTCGATCGATAGTTCTTTATTGAATTTTATACGGTATAGAGTACGAATAGATGGAAAAAAAAATGTTGAGATGATCATCGTGAATGAAAGTTGTTTGAAAAATATTAGAGATGTATGTATTCTAATACTTTATACAGAACGATATGACATCACTGCAATTCATCTTCTCATATGATAATTTTTTTTTCGAAATATTTACAGAAGAAAATACATGATTACACACTAAGGTAAACATGCAAATGAAATTTGATTTGATATTCAGAAAGAACTTTTCGATAGACAATTAGATTTATTTGTATGTTGCATGTCCAACAGTTAAGGCGACAAAATATTTAATGTGAATGTTTTATAGTTCTCAGTAGTAGAGATTTCGATAAAATACTGTAAGACTTATTTATTCTGAAACATGTGTTAGAATGGTTGATACATTCTTCATTTGGTTGATAGTAAGGTCTCAATTTTATATGTCATGAATAAACTTATTCTTTATTCAACAAACTCTGGTTTTCTTTTTATTACTGCTATGATTTATTTGGTTTTTCTTTCTTCTCGAGAATATATTTATCAAAATCTCAATTAGATACAATTTGTTTTGAAGAGTTTTTTCTACTCAAGCTGTTGCTTTTTTTGGCTCATTCTTGATTGCAGATACTTTTAAATACTAATTAAAGAAAAATGTCCGCAAAGTGGAGTCGGGGGCAAAATGAGTACATGGTGGAATGAAGATAAATTTTATTAAATGAAAAAATTCATTAATGAAAGACAATGAATATTTAATTTTGTTTAGGTTCATAATCGAGATTATCCTTATCATTAGTATCGAATACTTTAATATAATAATAACAGAGTGAACGTAGTCGCTTTTGATAACCTTTAAAATCTAAGCGATCATCTAAATATTCTTGTTTAGCTTGAATTAAAACATTTTCATTGGTTAT